AATGTTACAATGATGCTAGGACACTCAGAAAATGGATTTGGCCACAACCGAAACTTTCTAAACCTCTTCATCTCTCCTCCTCACATTCATGGCTGATGAAACAGGAAATTGGTATCACCTTTTGGAAAGAGCTGACAATACACACCTTTAAAATCTTAAAATTAGTTTAAAAGGCTTAAGCCTTTCTAAAGCAAAGAAAGTTGCCCACCATCCAGTTCTACAAGTATCAAGTCATTAGCCACTCTAGTCACTGGCCAGCAGTACACCCGGAAACGAATTAAGACCAAGGACAGGATGAGGCACTCTGTTTTGGGAAAACACGCCCTTTAGATAGCTATCTCAAGAAGAATTTTAATAAAAGAAAATTCTTGCATCTTTCCATACATGGGGATGGGGCGGGGGTTGAGGGGGAAGCACTAAAACCATTAACTGAGCTACTTATTCTTCCTAACTAGAAGTAATCTTTTATTGAGATGTGCGCTTGACTGTATGTATTCCCCAGCCAAAATCATATGTATACTGGCTGCTTCTCCTGCCTCGTCAGAGCTGTTCCTCAGAGCTATTTGAATTGTTTCCTGGACTATGGTCTTAGTAAGACCCTGAATAAAACTCAATTCACAGCTCTTCCATTATGCATTTTTTTTCAGTCCATAAATTTTACTCCAGCACTGTCAGTCCACACACTTCACTCCAGTACTACTACTTCTCAAAAACCCAAAATAAGAAAAACAACATACAATAGGTTGATTACTGAAGCTTACGTACAATAAAGTTGGTGAGAATAAAGGAAGAATAGTTATATTGTATTTATTCAAAAGAATACATCATTCATAATGTGGTTATGAAACCAAATAGAAAAATACGTTACGTAAAATGAAGGAAAATGCAACATTGTACATATGTACGTTGGGATTACTGCATAAAAGCGTAACACTTCTAGGTATGGAGGAAGGGAACATGGAAAAATGAGGCTCATTTACAGACTTGAGTTCACTAGAAACATTGTATAGCTTTATACTGTTACTTAACAAATACTGGTATTACTATTTTGATAGCTCAGGATATACCTGTTATTAAGAAGCATTTGCTTTTATTTCAAATACACCAAGTTCGGGAAATATACAAGCTGGAGCTAAGATTGTTTGCGAGTGCCCGTTAGTGTTATCACTACACATTTTACGATGCACTTGACAAAATCTTACTAGTGATTCCAGGATTGCAGAATTAAGCACCGAAAACTGATTAAATGGAGGCTAACAAGAAACAGTAACAATTACCCCAGCGTTTTACAGCAAGGGCGGTCATTTCTAGCACTGTGATTGATCAGCACTTTTCTTTGATATTCTGATTTTTAAGTGCTTTGCATCTTCCACGTGACTTGACCTCAGCTACTCCGTTACTGAAACCGCTCCCGACGCCTGCATTTCTTCAATACTTCTGAGAACAGGACAGCGGAGACAGAGGGAGATGCGTCCACCATTCCTCTCCCCGTTTACTAGGCAGAGGATTCGGAAATACTGTACGACTCTACACTGACTCTCAGGCAGCCAAGAAACAAACAGATGGACAATGCCCTGTGTGTAATTATAGTCTCAAAAGAAGGACGACGGGCTGCGCGCCGGAGAGGGCAGGGCAGCCGATTTGCTGCGCGAGATACACACAGCCAATGAGGAGCGACGAGACCGGAGAGCGCGCGCCAGCGCCTCGGACGCCTTCCTTCCCCGCCTTTGAGATTTCTCTTCCGCTAGCATCCCCGTGGCATCCCCGCCGCCCGCCGCCCGCCGCCACCAGCCGGGGACCCACCTGAAGGAGCCCCCCGCTCGTGCGCGGCGTCCCGCCGCCGCCGCCTCTTCCCATCGCCTCTGCGCCTGCGCGACCGGAAAATTCGCGAAGGTTCCTGAAGCGGAACTGGCCGTTTCCGGAAGCCGGCAGCCGCCCCAGCAGGCAGACCGGTGGTTGCGGCGGAGGAGCGGAGAAGGCAGCGTCTGGCCGTTCCCGGCGCCTGAGCCTGACCCGTAACCTGAGGCGATGGCCCTGCTGTGCTACAACCGGGGCTGCGGCCAGCGCTTCGATCCCGAGACCAATTCCGACGGTAAGAGAAGCGCGCCGCCGGCCCGCCCGCCCCTCCGCCTCTTCCCCGGGACGCCCTTGGGCCCTAGGGCAGCCGGCGTCCTCCCGCGGTCCTCCCGCGGTCCTCCGGCGGTCCTCCCGCGGTCCTCCCGCGAGGCGTCACCGCACCACCCCCGGCCTGGGCCCCTCCCGGGCCGCCCGCCGTCTCCCCGCGGTGTGCGCGGGGCCGCTCGCCGGGCTTGGGGGCGGCGGCGTCCGAACGCCTCCGTCTGCAGCCGCCCAGCCCGCGGGCCCGCTTCCCCGCCGGCTCCGGGCCGGCGCACGTGTTTCCCCGGGTGGTCCGCTCGCGCTCTCGTCCGCCTGGACGCTGGAACGTCTTCATCCTCGGCTCCATCCCCCGCCCGCGTCTGGAAGGAGTCAAGTTAACCGGGTGCTCCTGGGCTCGCGTCGTGGTGTCTGTGTGTCCGTCTGTCTGGACTCGGGGGAATCAGAAGTGCTCCTGGGCTCTCGGCGCTGTGTGTGTCGGGGGAATAAGAAGTTAACCAGGTGCTGCCGGCTCGCTCTGCAGTTCATTTGCTGTGTGCGTTTCTGTGTTGTGTGTAGGGCAGCGGACAGAAACAGGAGGGTTGACAGGGGGCGGATTATCCTGGCGTTTAAGTTCGGCCTTGTTGTATTAATATATACAGAAGTTTATCTGCCTGATACAAGCCTGCTGTCGTTTTGTGCAGTCGACCCACTCTCTTTGAACCTTACTTAAATTTGTTCTTGGTTAAGAAAAATTATTCTGTATCTTTACGGTGTAAAGTTTTGATACGTCCGCCCAGGTGGGTGGTACATTCGTTATACTTTGTAGCCGGATTTGTCGGGTCTTGCTGCGGTCTTCCTAGTTTGGTACCATGCGGTCTTCAGCATTAAGGGATTGAATGCATTCTTGCAGCACATAGGTGTAGACCTAAGGATGTAAAGTGAAAGTGGCTAGACTCGGTGAACAATAGAAAATGACCAATGAATTTGAATTTTGGTTGGTGAATGGGATAAAGAAGTGAGCTGATTCCTTAATTATTGTAGGAAATAACGACACTTTGTGAAATTCGAGTATTTGTTGTGTGTTCTGCATGCCACTCATATTGGTCTATTGCTTTTTTACATTATCCCATTTAATCTTCACAATAACCCTGTGAAGTGCACGTTATTATACCCGTTTAATAGGGAAGCATAGTTCAATATGGTGGACATAGCTCCTGATTGTGTAGGCGATTAAAATTGATACTTAAAATTTTTTTTTCTCCTCTGAGATGTCTGAAATATTTGTCCTGGTGCACAGGTGAATTGGGGACATCATTTAAAATGCCAAGACCTTTGGCAGAATTATGAGAAAAAGATAAGTTCAATCACATTTTTATGACAATATAAAGTTCAGGGAGAAAACTTTGAGATTTAAATGGATTTAAAAAATCGAGAAATGAGGGGTTTCGGAGCCCTTTGATGTTGGAAATGTATTGTAAAAAAGTAAATGGCCTCAGTGTCTGCACATAGTCTACTTTAATATTAAAGGGAAAGCCTGAGGCTTCGTTGAATGGGACAGTTTGTTTGTTTATAGGATGTATGTACCAGCTTAACTTTAAAGGGGGGCGTACGGCCTTTTTTTTCTTTTTCTTTTTTTTTTTTTTAAGTCAGTTCGGTGTCTGGGAAATGGTACTGTGCCTGGGAAAAGAGAGATGGTGGAAGCCCAGAAAGCCAGAGGAGACGGTCTCAATGATGGGAGCATCAGCGGTACTAAATTCAGCAGGGAGGCCCATTAAGACTGCTGAAAGTTTATTTGCTTTAGCAAAATTAGTGTTATTTTAGAGACTTAGAATAAATACTCCAAGTAAGTTGGTTGACTGGAAAGTTAAGAAAATGAGGATAGGGAGTAAAAAGAGCTGTTAGCAAACTGTGAAGTCGGTTAGGACAGTGTTTTATAAGATGGGAGAGGTTTGACCTTGTGTATTGACTAATTTAGACTCCCTTCCTAGCTGTTAGGACATTTTCGTTTGAAACGAAAGCTAACTGAGAATTTTACTGAGACATGGTAACTTGCATATGTTAAACAGCTATTCTGGAAGAAGCACACCTTCGCAAACAGTATTTTATTCAGCCCCCACGTGTGGGGAAACTGAAACAACTACCTAGAGCCAGACTTTGAGCCCCGGTCGGACCCAGTGTTAAAAAGCCCTTGGCTCTTACTGTGTTGTAGCTTTTTAGACATAAAATACTACCTTGAGCAAAACTGGCAAACATGATAAAGGCAAACTAGAGAGGAAAATGTCCATCTGCTTGTTATTTACTTTTGAAAGCAGTGATTTTCAAATTGTTTATACCAGTTGTATGGATAAGACCTGACTCATTCCTGCTGCTGTTCTGCCAGAACTGTCCATTGTGATTATGCCTCTTCCTGGGTCAGACATTATGCATTTTATGCCTCGGACTGTATGTAAATTTGGTATTAGAAAATACTCTGTTCTCTACTTTGATTTCCCTCTCAACTTCATATTCCTCTGCATAATCATTTCTGCTTTGAACCTCCTTTTTCAGTCCTCATTTCTACTATGCCTTGAATTAATAGCTTCTTCCTCATCTGGGGGCTAGCATAGTATCTGTGTTACTAAGTTACTGTGTTATGTATGTTAGTACTTGGTTACTAACTAATGAAATCATACTTACTGTTAATGCAAGGATAGGGAGATTTCTCTTAAGTCCCAGGAATTAATCATTCTAATGCAACACCACAAACCAGAGGTTGTAGACAGTTGAAAGCTAAGCAAATATGAAAGGTTGAGCAAAGTAACCTTATAAGAAAATTGCATTGGTGTGGAGCTGACCTGTTTTTTCTGAGCTCATGGTTTTATCTAGGGAATATGTGCCTGTTACCTGTTTTCTTAATGTAATGTCCCATATTACAAACTGTAATAAGCCCAGTTTCATGAGGGTTAAGGGAAAATTTATGGTGTAGTGTGGACGGGGTAGAGAAATACAGAATAACATCAGTGACAAGCCTGAAAATACATCATAGGATTTAAACTTATTTTTAATGAGATTTATATTCAGGAGTTGACACCTGTTTAAGAAGGTTAAATTAGCAATTAGATATTATTTCAGTTTTTAAAATTTTTGAACCTGTTCTTCCAAAATACCTTTTTAGGTGATCTCTTGGGCAACCTTTAAGGATCAATGCACATAAGAACACTGAAGTTTGATAGTATTTTTGTAAAAACAGAATTGGAAGATGATGGTACTAAACAAACTTTACTGCAAAGATGAGCGGAATACAGAATATAATTTGTCATACTTGAACTCTTCTGTTTTTGTATAACTATCATACTCAAAATTAGAATTTTACTATTTTAATACAATGTTAAGTGGTGTGTGTCATGCATCAAACTTGAGCATTAGTGAATTTTTAAGTATTGCCTGTGTATGGAAAAAAAAAACATCTGAAGGAAATAATGACTTTTCTTATAAAGTGGTATATATTTTTTCTTTCTTGTTTTTTGACCAGATGCTTGCACATACCACCCAGGTGTTCCAGTCTTTCATGATGCATTAAAGGTAGGCACTTGATACATTTCAATCTCATTTGTAGAGTCAATTCCTAGGTATAATACTAAATTTTTTTTGTTCTTTTTTTTTTTTCTCAGCTGGTGACTTTCTGCTTTCTTAATGACTATTTTGGGGTGCTTTAAGCAAGTGCTCCACTAAAGGCAAAGTGATCTTAAAGGCTTCTCCAGTTACAAAATTCAGTTCTATCTTAACTCTCATTTTCTATACCACTCATTTCTTCATTTTCTTAATTTTGAGGGGGAATAAAAGCAATTGTATTTAATCTTAATCTTTCAATATATCAAGAAACTGCTGTCTGATAAGAGCAGATCTGAATTTTAAGAAAGATTGTTATGAACACTTGACAGTGCCACTCTCAAGATAGACATGTAAGTCTAGAGTAAAATTCTGTATAAAAGAGAGATGCCCCTGTTTTCTGCCTGTACTTCTTGATATCCTGAAGAATTAGAGAAATAATAACATGTTGTTTGACTGGGTCTTTTGTGTTGGGTTTATTGATCTCCTAAAATTTATGATAATGTGGTACATTTTCCATTGTATATATCAAAAGAAAATGTGGCTGCCATGGTTTTAGGTATTCTAAGGAACATAACCCTATGTGTTTAAATGTTATTAATGCCCTTTGGACTTCTAATTTTACCTTTCATAGAGTAGTTGGGCCTTTTTGGTGTTTAACTGTTAGGTAGCCAAGTGTAAACAATAATGTACAAATAGATAACAAGTTTACGTTAATCTGGTTCTAAGTGAAAAACAGAACAAATGATCAAAGGGGCAAATTGAGACCTGACTCCTCCTTAACATCTTTTTAGCCTCTTTACAAACTTTTATGGGGATAGAAGCTGTGGTTCTATGAGAATATGTGTTTTTGCTGGGGTGAGGGGATTTTATCTTTCTTGGACTGCCATTTGTTCTTTGTTTTTCTTGTACTTTTTTTTTCCTATGACGTTTTCCTCCTATCCGCTAACGATGGGCTTGCTAAACTTCTCAGTGTTTGGCTTCCTGTTTTCTCTGATTCAGTTCATTCGTTCTTGTCCTTAATTCGTTCGTCACTTCTGTGTCAGTGACTTCAACAACCTATTTCCATTTACGTGTGTCATTGGCAACCACAAATGAGTTCTGAAATGAACTTACTCTAAAAATAGCCTACCTTCCAACATTGCTGCTGCTAGTAATGGTATCACTGACTTTCTAGTCATTCAGCCCATTGCTCTTCTTCTTACCACCCAAATGTTAATTACTTAATTTGTCTTGATGATTTCACTTTGAAGTAATTCCGTTTCTCTGCTCCAATTCTACTGTTTATGTTTTCTATAAACATTTCTTCAAGACCTAGACTTTCCAAGACCACTGAATTTCACAACCTGGTGGATTTCAGGCAAAATGTGTAAATCAGTGTAGCGTCTACTGTTGCCAGTTTTCTGTTTAACCAAGTAAGAAGTTGCATTACATTAACAGAAGAAAAACCACTTGAATATTCCACCTAGAAGAGGCAGAGGGAAGAGGACAGTCCTTCTTAAGAAAAGACAGTTGGCAACACTGTACTCACATACTTAAATTTATCCTTGCTTTACACATTTTACTGGGAACTACCATAGATACCAGAATGGCATTTGGGAACAGCTAGTCTGTATCATGTATGTATCCCAATAGTCCTAGAATACCTAATGTAATTCTTCATATAGGAGTAAGACAATAAAGCTTTTTTCCATATAGAATAATTTTCCTAGTGACTATATTCTCAACACCAATTAAACTTTCTATTTAAGTTTATAGTAATTTTCCATCTATATCTTTATTCAGAGTAAAAAAATTAAATTTTAAAGTAAAGGAAAATTTGAATTACAGAATATTTAACATTTTCTTTTAAAAATTTACATACTGTGAAGAAGTCCCTACCAAATTCTTCATGCATGTATTGAGTAAAACAGTGAAACCCAGATAGACTCATCCAAAGCTGGCTCTTAGTCTGAATTTGAGACATTGCAAGCCTTGAGACTGCTGCCTTTTTACTTCCTTCTCTGTACTCCATTGAGATTGTGGGCAACAACTTAAAGCCATGTTTTAGTTAACCACTTGATACTTTGTTCAGAAACCACACACTGCAGTACAGTGTCTGCATTTGTGTGCTTCCAACTGAGAAGATCATTTAACCTTTATCTCTAACTGTGCTTAGACTGCTACATTAATTAATCTGTGTTATTCTGAAAATAGAGTACTTATTGTTGAGGAACAGCTATGCTGAGTTTGCTTAGAAACTAAATTATGATGATTACTGTCTCTAACTTACTGAATTTTTTAAGTAAAGCACTTTACTTACTCCATAGATCCTTTAAAGTATCTAATGCTTTTAGAAATTATAAAATCTTTTTCTTCTAGAATTAAATACTATTCTTGAAAACATAAGTAGTTTGTTTCCGTATTTTCAAGAGCTTCCTTGCATGATAGACTATAACACAAATCACTTTTAACATTAGTTAATTTTGTTTTGTTTTAATCAAAGACTAAAAATCATATCACTTGATAAGACGAGTTATTTACAACACTTTAAAACTATGATGTTACATACATGCAGGTCCCTTCGGGATTCAAGGAGATAAGTGCAATACAGTGTTTAGTGGGGTTGTGGTTTTCATGTGGATGGTTTTCATTTTTTTTCCCTTTTATGTTTCTTAGGGTTGGTCTTGCTGTAAGAGACGAACAACTGATTTTTCTGATTTTTTAAGCATTGTCGTAAGTATTAATATTTTTTTCTAGATTGTCTCCTAAAAAGTACATATTATGGGGAGCTCCAAATTTGAGGAGACTGATTTTGGACACCTATCGACTAGTCCGTGTTAACTTACAGATAGTAACTTTCTTTTAAAACCTCTGTTCTATGACCTTTAAAATAAGAAATATCTGTTTTAGAATTTAAAGTTCCAAGATACTAATTAACCACTTGTCAGTTTAGGTTTGTTTTTGGTGTTAGTAGTCAGTCTTAAAAGAACATCAAGAAAAAGGAAGCTATATGCAGCAATTTAAAGCATTTTCAGTTTGGAATAGCAAATTTTGTCGTATCTAAGATACCATTGAGATGCACCATTATTTTATATACCCTTAGTAAAGAAAACTAAAGTTGTTAATTAAATGACATGCCATTGATCTTAGGATTTCAGGGAAGTTAAAATGTATGTATGACTCAGTGGAATACGGAAAAGGTAGCTAATATTTATTAAATGTTTACCAACTGCTAGATGTGGGAAATACTCTTGTTTTATTTAATTCTCTAGCTAGGTAGTAGGAGAACTGAGGCTCAAATTGAGACCCTTTTGTGTAAATAATTTGTGGAATTCTCTCTTTTTTTTTAATTGAAGTATAGTCAGTTACAATGTGTCAATTTCTGGTATACAACATAATGTCCCAGTCAGTATATA